ATATGCAATAAAAATCAGTTGTTACCCCTTCTCCTACTTGTGTGATGTGTATGTAACTAATTACAAAATGGTGGCATCAGTAAACCTAACAGGTTATGGGCCCAGCAGAAAGCTCATTTCACAGGGACAAAAGGAAGTACAGGCTAGGAGAGGTGAAGTTCTTAGGATACAGGCGCCTTCAAAGGCTTCACAGTGTGGTTATACAAGAAGGTGAAGAAGCAGAACCCAGCAAGGAAAAGAAAGATAGTGCGTTTGCAGAACTGGTCTGGTGTTTGGACGATAGAAGTTTGGAATTTTGTCAAGTCTAAGAGAAGAGGTACTAATAATCTTATCTCCTTGAAAGTTGATGGATCTGTTCTAACAGACAACTCTGGTATTGCTCAAAGCATGAACTCATATTTCTCCTCGGTATTTACCACTGAAGATTATGTAAATTTTCCTACACAAGATTGTATTGTTGACAAGAAGCTTGCAAACATTGGTTGTTGTGTCAATGAGGTTAACCGCTTCCTCCTAAAACTCAAGCCCAACAAGTCCCCTGTGCCTGACCATATCGGGCCGTGCATCTTACAATCATGTGCATCGGAATTAACACCTTCATTGACATATATGCTAAACAAAACGTTCTCTGTTGGCCTTCTACCTGATGAATGGAAGCCTGCAAATATTACACCTCTATGCAAGAAGGGTCCTAGTTCTTCGAGAGAACACTACTGCCCAATTTCCCTTACTTCCATTCCCTGTAAGATCGGTGAAAAAATTGTTTTCGACAGGATGTTTCATTTCTGGCATGAATTGACCTTATCAACAACAACCAATTCAGCTTTCTGCGAGGAAGATCTCCTGCAACTGAATTATTATCAACGTTTAATGACTGGGCAAAATCACGAAATCTCTCCACTCCTACCGATGCCATCTTTCTCGATCTTGCTAAAGCTATTGACAGTGTTCCTCACGAGCGGCTGCTTTTAAAATTAAAAAGTAATGGCATCGACGGTTGTCTGCTTAACTGGCTTTTCTGGTTGGTCGGAAACAACATGTAGTTATTAGGGGATCTTGTTCTGATTGGTTGTGTGTCACCTCCGGCACTCCACAAGGGACCATCCTTGGGCCTCTATTATTCTTACTGTATATTAATGACATAACTGAATGCGTATCGTCTACAGTCAAATTATAGGCAGACAATACAAAGACCTATAGAGAGATAATTGATCCGATTACAGATTGTCAGCATCTTCAGGAAGATCTTACCAACATTAGTGAATGGGCTTGTAAATGGCAACTACATTTTAACATGGATAAATGTGAATCTATGAGAATTACACATTCACATGATAAGTCAGTAACCAATTATTTCTTAGAACAGCCCTTGAAAGACGTAGATAAATTTAAAGATCTCGGTGTTATAATAACTAAGGACCTCTCATGGAGTAAACCACATTAGCAGGGGCGTAGCCAGGGGAGGGTTCCAGGGGAGGGTTCCAGGGGTTCTGGAACCCCCTCTCGGTCAAAAAACCCCCCTCTGCTCAGTCACTTCATCTCAGCAAGAGTGTAATGGACTCTCGATTCCTGAAATTCTTCATTTTCCTATGCTTACAATGGTTGTCTTTACACTAGGCCGTTAAGTAAGACTTAATGAGGCGTACACTAACAGTAATAATGTCACGGACGATCTCCAGGACATCCGAGACAACTGGACCAAGTGGTTTCATCTGGCAGTCACTACCGCAGAAAATGTCGGTGTTGTGCCTTCCATGCCGCACCGAACCAATCAGCAGCAGCATGGCGACAATGTACCAGCCCAGACACCATCTGATTACTACAAGAGGGCAGTTGCTATTCCCCTTCTAGACCATCTACAATCAGAGATGAAAACATACTCCAATCCTCCTAATGATGGTGTCTTGTCCAGCCTATTTAATCTTCTTCCTGAGGTGGTAGCCGGCAGAGACAGAAATCCTGACATTGGAGCAGCGCTAGAGTTTTATGAGAGCAACTTTCCTTCTCCTCATGTGGTTGATGTTGAGCTCCTGCGATGGAAGAGAAAGTAATGCAGCACTGAGGATGCCAACCTTCCCACCAGTGCAGTTCAGACACTCGCAGCATGCGATCAAGAGTTCTTTCCTAACATCCACACCTTGATCCGCATTTTGTGCACGTTGCCGATACTGTCAGCTGAATGTGAGCACTCATTTAGCACACTAAGAAGGTTAAAAACATACCTGAGGTCGACCATGTCAAGCAAGCAAGAGTCTGGGCTGGCACTGATGAACATCAATTACCACCGAGATATAAATATCGAGGAAGTGATAAACACGTTCGCTCAACAGCAACCAAGATGTCTTCTGTTTGCGTAGCATAAACGCCAAGTCTTGTACATACGTAATGTTAGGATTTTAGAACCGTTTTCTTTGGAACCAATTTGGAATCCCCCTCCTAGAAATCCTGGCTACACCCCTGAGTAGTATAACTGTAAACAAAGCGAATAAAGTCCTGGGTTCTATTGAACACTTGATAGGCACCGCTAATGCAATTATTATTTCTATGCTCTACAAATCTCTTGTACGGCCAATTTTGGAATATGTGGTACCTGTCTGGTGTCCTTACCTCGTCGAGGACATCCATGCTCTTGAGAATGTACAGCAAAGAGCTTCAAGACTTGCTTTAAATCAACGCAAAGGAGACATGTCCTATGAAGACCAATGCAATTTGCTAAAATGGCCTACTCTTTCCCACCGTAAAACTTATTTATCTTTAGCTGAGTGTTATAAAATTTTTTTTGGTTTTTACCATTTAGAATTTGAAAACTTTTTTGATTTCACTACAACTAGATGTACGAGAGCATATCATCAGTACAAACTTTACGTCAAACTGGCAAGACTTAATTGTTATAAACATTCATTTTTCATTAGGATTGTTAAATTACAGAATGAATTACCAAGAAACATAGTGGAAGCTGATAATCCTTCAGCATTTTAAATCTCAGCTTAAATAGTACATAAATATTTAATTGTAACTAAGTATTTTATTTTCATTTAGACTTTTTTCTTTAGGGAGTTTTCACATAGGGATAACCTCTTAACTTCCCTTTCTAGAAGCATCTTTTTCCCTTTCCTTTTTAGTGTATATATAGTCTGCTTCTGGAATCAATAAAGTATGTTTAATGTTTAATGCTCATAAAACTAGCCACTCGGCATTATTAAACAGTAAAAAACATCGAGCAGAGCAGCCCATTGTGAAAGCTCTGAATACCATGGAAAAGCACAACATCGACCTCATGAAAAACTGTTTACAACTGCATTCTTTGTGGCCAAAAACGAAAAGCCGTATCCTGACTTTGCCAACCTAACAGAACTCCAAGCTTCAAACTATGGTGATGACATCCTAACAAAACGCTACAACAATGATAAACAAGCGAATGAATTTATTCACTACATTGCCAAACATGAAAGTGACTTGAAATGGCACAAGAGAAACGGTTCTGAATTTATTGCTGTGGCTTTAGATGGGTCTACAAACTCTGCCAATATTGAACAGGAGTCCTACTTCGTTTCATATCTAGATGAGAACTACGAACCCTGTGTAGATTTTGTGAAAATTGTTGGAGTTCAGGGATGTGCAACGGGACAAAACCTTGCAGATGGCTTTTTTTGTACCCTTTTCTGATCTTGATGTGGATGTCAAGAGAAAATGTGTTGAAGTAGCAACAGATGGACCTCGTGTAATGAAAAACATGTGTAGACTGCTCAGAAATGAAATCAAATGGCTGTTGGAATTTCATTGTGCAAATCATCGTCTGGAATTGTCCTTCAAAGATGCAGTTAAGAACATATCACTGTATAATGATGCACACAGTTTACTAGATGGGCTCTGTTGTTTCTATGACAACAGTAACCTACAGTCAAGAAGTCTGAAAAGGACAGTTGAACTTTTAGAAGTCAATTCAGTGGTTCACCCCACAGCGAAAGGTACAAGGTGGGTAGCACACAGGGAACAAGCTGTGAAGGCACTTGATAGAAACTATGTTGTCTGCACTAACAAGTGGTACCTGAACATAGACAGTGGTCTGATAAATGGTGTACGTAGTGTATTGAGAACACAGTAAAAGTACTTGTACTAGTGTTAGTGATATCACTGTAAGATTACTGAGTGATGTGAAAGTACTGTTACTAAGTAAGACTATTCCACCAGCTTATAAAATACTTGATCAACGAATAAAGATAGAATAGTAGTAAGCAATTGAGGAGTGTGTGTCTCCACTAAATGAATACACAACACATTGGCGACGAGGAAGAGATCCGAACTACTGAACAGGTAGAAGAAATCGAACTGCCAGAAACAGCAGAAGAAATCGAACAGCCAGAAACGGCAGAAGAAAATAAACAGCCAGAACCGGCAGAGAGTTCACAAGAGATGGAACGATTGTTACCCGCACCCGCACTGTTCAATATTGATGCTGCAGATCTTTACAGCGAGTGGAAAAACTGGGTCAGTGCGTTTGAAATCTACGCCACTGCATCAGACTTGCAGAAAAAGGCAGATCCCGTTCAGAGAGCGACAATGCTACACTGCCTTGGCCCTTCAGTTCAACACATCTTCAACACTCTCCCAGGTGAACACAAAACTGTTGAGGAAGCAAAGACCACCCTGAACGAATATTTCGCTCCAAAATGCAACATAGTTGCAAAACAAAACAAATTCAGATCGCAAGCACAAAAGGCAGATGAGTCCATCGACGCTTGTCTAACAAGCTTGAGAGAGTTGGCAAAGTCTTGCAACTTCGGCGACTTAGAGGAGGAGATGATAAGGGACCAAATCGTCGAAAAATGCTCCTCCCATACTCTAAAGCAAAGGCTTCTCCAGAAAAGAAGACCTGCAGCTTGCCAAGACAGTAACGATAGCTCATAACGCAGAGACCACCGTTCAAGAAGCACGACTACTTTCTCAAGGCTCCAAAGAGAACCCAATCACCATTGACCGCGTGGGTACCTCTAGCAGACCACCAGTGAAGCGCTTCAACTGCTACAGATGTGGTGGCACGGATGGTCATAGCCCAAGTGAATGCGGTGTGCTTAAATCCACTTGCAACAACTGCAAAAAGGTGGGACACCTACAACGAGTTTGTCGCTCCAAGCCTAAAACGGCACAGATGAAAGGAAAGAAATGGAAAGGGAAGAAACCTCAACAAATGAAGGTTCGTAGCCTCTCATCCAACAAACCTGCTAACTGGCTTGTAGACAGTTCAGGTGAGGATAGCGAAGAGCCAGTACTCTTCATGAACAATGTGGACAACTCCATCACAGCTATGATAAACAAACGAAAAACCAAAATGATCGTGGACACAGGCTGTAAGTACTATATAATTTCCTCTCATTTACATAAAATGCAATTCAAGAACTGTGAACTGAAAGAAACTCGAAAGCGTTTTACCGCGTATGGACAAGACGAGGCGTTAATCTCTAAGGGTTATTTTTACACTGTCATAAGTATTGGCCACAAGGCCATTAACTCAAAAGTGTACGTAATAGAGGGTAAGGCAGAATCATTACTAGGAAGAGATTCTAGTTTCATGCTAGAAATCCTTACCCAAGTAAATTCAGTCGGTCAGACTAGTAAGCTTGATTCCTTGCTCCTAGAGTACGATGATGTTTTTCAAGGATTAGTAAAGGTTACAAATTTTGAACACAAAATAGCTATTGACACTGAGGTCAAACCCGTAAGTCAACACCTAAGGCGCATACCTGTCAGTCAAATAGAAGCAGTTAACAATGAACTTGACACGATGCTAGGAGGAGATATAATTGAAGAGGTGACAGAAGCAAGTCCCTGGGTCTCAAATTTAGTTATTGTTCCCAAAAAGTCGGGTGACCTTAGAGTATGTTGCGATCTCAGAGAGGTCAATAAGGCCATTATTAGAGAACGATATGTTCTACCTAAGATCGAGGATACCTTGCATGCTTTGCATGGTTCTAAATACTTCGCTAAGATTGACGCCAAAAGTGGGTTTTTTCAATTACCGCTAGCTGAAGAGTCGCGTTATGTCACCATGTTTATTACGCCTCGTGGTTGTTACCGATTTAAGCGAACTCCTTTCGGTCTCAGCGACGCGAGCGAAGCGTTCCAGAGAATGATGGATAAAATTTTGTTTGGCATCCAGGGTGTCCGCATTTCGGTCGATGATATAATTACCTATGGCAAGACAATGGCTGAACTCACTCAGCGGATCTGCAAAGTTTTCAATCGATGCCGTAAGCACAACCTCAAGCTCAATCGTAGCAAGTGTGAATTTGGGGTAAAGCAAATTTCGATTTTAGGCCATGTTGTCTCTGAATAAGGAATCGAACCTGATCCAGCGAAAACAGAAGCTATCAAGGCTACACCTTCTCCCGACAACGTATCCGATCTTCGATCGTTTCTCGGAACTTGTGGCTATGTTTCTAAGTTTATCCCAAATTATGCGAACATAGTCGAACCACTTAGAAAACTGTCTCGGAAAGAACAGAAGTGGTCGTGGGGGAATGAGCAAGTAAAGGCATTCGAGGCCTTGAAAGAAGCATTGTCTGGCACACCAGCCTCGGCTTGTTTTTGTTTAGACGCTCTAACATATGTTGTCTCTGATGCCAGTCTGGTCGGTTTAGGGGCAATTCTACTGCAAGATCAAGGAACTGGTGAGCGTAAACTGATCGCGTATATCAGTCGATCACTTACATTGACGGAAAGGAAATATTCACAGATTGAGCGCGAAGCGCTAGGTTGCGTTTGGGCTGTTGAGCGTTTGCACGATTATCGGTTTGGCTTAGAATTCACCTTGCTAACTGACAACAAGCCTCTCTCTACTATGCTAAATCCGCACTCGAGCAAAAGTTTACCACTGCACATTCAAGCACTTAGCTTGGAGATTGCACCAGTATACCTTTCGTATTCAGCATATCGCAGGCAACGCTAACACAGCAGATTCGTTGTTGCGTTTGCCGTCTAATCAAGACGATTTTTCGGATTCTGGTTTCGTTTGTGAAGACTACATAAGATTTGTTTTCACATCAAATGTGTCAGACCTTCAGGCTGTCACCCTCACTGACATACAATCCAAAACTAGCAAAGACATCACGCTGTCCCAATCACTTGTTCAAGTTCAAAGCGGAAAATGGTTGTTGACAGGTGATCTCAAACCATATGGCGCAATAAAAGACGAATTGTCTAATTACGAAAGGAATTGTTCTCCGAGGAAACGGAATTGTAGTGCCACAGTCATTGCGAAAAAACATTCTGAAATTAGCACACGAGACTCATAAAGGAATCGTCAAAACTAAACAGTTTCTTCGAACTCGTTTTTTTTGGCCCGGTATGGATGATGCAACAGAAACTACGGTGAAAAACTGTCAAGCGTGCGTAGTTAATCAGCCTCTTAATAAGTACACGTCGCTCCAACCAACAATTTCACCTTGTGGTCCTTGGGTAAAAGGTGCAGTGGATCTCGTTGGTCCAATCAATGGAAAATCTAGTTTGACTTACATTGATTATTATTTATCATATACGGAAGCATTCATTTTACAAGAGGTCACTTCACCCGAAGTAATCAAAGCGTTGAAAGATATATTCGCTAGATTTGGGTTTCCAGAAGAAATCGTTTCTGACAACGGAAAACAGTTTGTCAGCGCGGAATTTGAGGCTGTTAGAATACATGCCCGGATATTCCGAGCACCCACACTTAAGTTACTTAACAGTTGCCCCAGATTAGAATACACCACAACGTACTACTGCTCACCTGCAAATTTCCTTTGTGGTAAATGCCTAAAATGATTATCGTTTCGTTCTAATTACGCCTATCTAAAAACCTGTATATAATATGATTCACTATGAGAAATAAATCAGTTATTACTCCTAGCATTGGTTGATGTGCCATTTTGTGTAACTACTATGGCGACATCGAACTCTTGGAACCTAACAGGTTATGGGCCCAGGAGAACACTCCTGTTTGACGGGGATGACAGTAAATACGAGCTATGGGAGGTAAAGTTTTTGGGATACATGCGCCTTCAGAAGCTGTACAATGTGGTCGTTCCCCCAGAAAGCGAAACGACAGCCCCCAGTGCTGAAAAGAAAGCGCATGCCTTCGCCGAACTTGTTCAGTGTTTGGACGACAGAAGCTTGTCCCTCGTCATAAGGGAAGCCAACAACGATGGGAGGAAAGCTTTGCGCGTGCTGCGAGAGCACTACCAAGGGAAAGGAAAGCCCAGAATCATTGCCCTCTACACAGAGCTGACTTCGCTTCGTATGAATGACGGAGAGACCACCACGGACTACATTATTAGGGCGGAGACCGCGGCAACTGCTCTGAAGGCAGCGGGGGAGGTGATCAGCGATAGCTTACTGGTAGCTATGGCACTAAAAGGTCTTCCTAGCAGCTACAGGGCTTTTGCTACTGTAGTTATGCAGAGAGAAAAGCAAATGACCTTTGCTGAGTTTAAGACAGCCCTTCGAAGCCATGAGGAAAACGAGCGATGTTGCCGTAGTGAAAGCGACGGTGTTATGCTGGCTAACGCGTCCAAGGCGCTCCCAGCGAAGTTCCAAGGAAACTGTTATAAATGTGGCAAAAAGGGGCACAAAACTGTAAACTGTTACTCCCATAAAGTAGTGGATAAATGGTGCCAACAATGCCGGACCAAGTCCCACAACACTAAAGAGTGCCGAGTACGGAAGACCGATGCAGCGAAAACAGCCGCGGAACCCCAAAGAAAGAGGGTAATATCAAACAACATGGACTCCGTTGAACATTATTTTACTTTCACCGTTTAAGTCTAGTCAATGTGGACACGGGCACCACTTCAACACGCAATGCAAAGTTTCTAAAACATGTGCCCAGTAAGCATATTAGTAATGACATAGACGTAGACACTAGTGTTAAGTCCAAGGAGTCTAATGATTCTTCAGCGAAAACTATTACCGAGCACTCTAGTAAGGTTGTGGAGCAAAACTCCCAGAGTGACCAGGTTATTACTACAAGGTCTGGAAGGGTAGTTAAGTCAACAAGGGATTGTGATAATTTCGTTTACTATTGAATTAACCATATTCTAATTTCAAACTTGTGACTGCTTTAATCATATTTCTTATGATTCTTTGAACATCACCCAGGAAGGATGTCGTGTATTGAGTACACAGTAAAAGTACTTGTACTAGTGTCAGTGATATCACTGAAAGATTACTGAGTGATGTGAAAGTACTGTTACTAAGTAAGACTATTCCACCAGCTTAAAAGATACTTGATCAACGAATAAAGATAGAATAGTAGTAAGCAATTGAGGAGTGTGTGTCTCCACTAAATGAATACACAACAGTGTACTTTTTCTCAACCTAAAAACAGCTTTTGATTCAGTAGATCACCCGATCCTATTACAGAAACTTCAACTTTATGAAGTGGATTTCCCACTTCAAAGTGGTTTCAATCTTACCTAACAGATCGTAAGAAGAAAACCTTTGTAAATGGCCATTTATCGGACTACTGCCCCACTATTTGCGGTGTCCTACAGGGATCAATCCTGGGACCGCTTTTGTTCTTAGTCTCTATAAATGACCTCCCTGCATGCCCCCTATACTCTGTGCCTAGAATGTATGCTGATGACACAAGTCTTACTCTAAGTTCAAATAATCCAGCTGACTTAACAATACAAATTGAATAGTGACTTAGCCCAAATTAAGACCTGGCTACAAGCTAATAAACTTAGCTTAAATGTAAAAAAAACCAAATATTCTATTTTTGGTTGCCATAAAAGATTGGCTGACTTAAACTATCAGTTTGATGTCAAAACTGATGACCATTTCTTAGAAAGAGCTAAAACGTACAAGTATCTTGGTATTGATTTGGATGAGAACTTAGCCTGGGATTCCCATATTGACAACATTGTCAAAAAAGTATCCGCTGGCCTCGAGGCTATCTGACGTGTCATATGTCAATCTGTGAGACTCCAAAAATTACTAAATAGGGCTGCACGCTTAATTACCTTTTCTGACTTAAATATTAGATCCTCCACTTTACTCAGTGACCTCGGTTGGGATTCCTTGGAGCGGAGGCGCTCTGAGCAACTAGCAGTCATTTTGTTTAAGACTCTCCATAACCCTGCTCTGACTTGTTTAAACAATCTTTTAAAATCTATATCCAGTGTTCACTAGCATAATCTGAGAGTCAAAATCAGGGGTTTCATTAATTTTTTCAGCAGGAGGGCAACTGGTTTTCACAGGCGGGAAAAACTATTTGAACCAAACTTCTTTATAAGATAAACCTTCCTCCAGATTGTTAAACCTGGTGGGCAAAACTGTCCTTACAACTGGTCAATTTGGCCGGTGCCCGGCCCTTAATGAAACCCCTGCAAAATACAACCTTTTTGTTTCTAGACTGAGTACTGAAGCAGGTAAGCGATGTTTCCAATATCGTGGTTCTGTTCTATGGAACAGCCTGACCTTAAGCGCTAAGTTACAGCCAACTCTTTGTTCCTTTAAGTCATGTATTTGATTAATATTGATAAGTAGCTAAAAGTAATGAAATCCTTTTTATAGTTAAGTAATGAAATCATTTTTAAAGTCAGTTTAAAACCTTGTACAGACAATTAATTTAGTTAGATATATTATTGGCTAATTAAGTAATTTGTATTTAGAACACAGCTCGAAGGAAGAGCATGCAATACAAATTGATACTGTGTATAAATAAAGTTTTCTACTACTACTTCTACTACTACTACTACTACTACTACTACTACTACTACTACTACTACTGCTGCTGCGCAGTTACAAGAATGCAACCTGGACAACACTCCGAGGCTAGAAACCAGGAACAAAGCTCTTGGACTAAAGGAAAAACTTCAAGATGAGAACCTCGTTGTATTCATATTTGCTGTTTTTAAAGTCCTACTTACAATATTTCCATGTTTAAGTTGTGTCTTGCAATCTGATGATGCAAGCATTAGACACTATTGCGAGTATGATCAAACGTACCAAAAGGGAACTTTAAAGTTTTGACTGTGAGAATAGGATAAAGGAATTTGAGGTGCCCATATCAAGGATGGGAAATTCCGAAATGTTCAACTAAAAGAGAGTAGAACAAGGCATGAAAACAACGTTAGAAATCAAAGTGAACTGTTGGTGAACCATCTCGGGCAAACTATCACTGATAGGTTTGGGCCACTGAATGATAGTAATATTGGTGTGCGCCCTGAAATGTCCTTCTTTTCAATATTCCATATAGGTAGACAACCAGATTGTGATGGGGATAACATTTCACTATATGGTAAAGCTGAAATTAGTAAATTAGTTTGTCATTTCCATGATCTGTTACTTTGCAAAGGCTATAAACCAGGGAAGATAGAAGAAAGAGTTTCTGTAGGGAGGTATGTAAGAAATGTGTTAGCAACCACAAGTGCTGGTCATACAATAAAAACATTCTGGCTCAAGGTAGTAAGAAAGAAAGGCAACTCAGAATTAAGAAATATTTTGAGCTTGGCAAAAATATTGTTAGTTTTGATTTACTCAACTTCTCGTGTTGAACATGGTTTCAGTCTTATGAATAGAGTTAAATCTAACTGGAGGTGCAAACTCAAAGAAGAGTCACTTAATGACCTCATACATGTTGCCCTTAGCAGGGTCACTGTAAAGAACTTTAACCCTGAGCCTGCCATTGGATTAAGGTGGAATGATGCTAAGAAAACCAGGAGACTAGTAGATGATTATGGGCCAAACCAAAGGTCTCAATAGGCTGAGACAATAAGTTGACAACAAAATGTCATTGCTTTCTATCAGTTTATTATTAATGATTGTACAACTGTTACCCCAGTTGAGTTTTAAAAAATGAAAATAAAATAACATTAAAATAATACTGTTCAAGTTGGATGTTGGCGGAGACGGGTAAAAAAAGTATTCTGCCTGTCACCAGACACAGGTAAACAGTCTGGAACATTTCGACCCCTGGATCTGTGGCACATGTTTCAACTGCACGTCCATCACTCTAATTAGGATATCCCATCTCCATAACCACACTCAATTGGATTTCTTGATGCTTTCAGTAAACTGTTAAACATAACCAGTTCATTTGCTGTGCAGGTTGTGTACTCCTTCACAAAATAAGGGAGCAATAAAAGAACTGGAACCTTGTTATAACCTGAAAGGAGGAGTCTGTACATTAGCAGATGGGTGCCATCCTTCAACTTGCAATTAATCTTAGAGTTACTGGAAACTTTTGCACTGTGTATCCTTCCTGGCCACTTGCAATCTACATCAATAAACTTCCCCTCATAATCACACACTCCCTTCACCTTGAGAGTGTATTTCACTTTGCCCAAGAAATAATTATGAGAACTTTCAAAAGGCTGTTGAATAGGAATATGTGTTCTGTTCACACAGGCTAATGCTTGGAAAAATCCATTTCTTGGAAATTTATAACAAGGTCTCTCATATATCATTTTCAACCACGTGACAAAAAAGTCACAACATCACACCACTAAATCTTCTGGTGGATAAACAAAGCGACAAAATGGCATCTGCGCCCGCGAATTCTTGCCATTCTATCTCATTTTCCAAGTATTACTCAACTTTGACCAGTCCTACGAGGGCCAGATATCGTGAAAAGGTACATATTTGTGGTTTCAACCCCTACTTGTTAAAAAAAGCGGATTGCAGCGATGATGTAGCCGATTATCCAAGTATTACATATCGCAATATTGTAAACTACCCAGTCATCCAGACCTCATGAATTATGAATATAACTTAATATTAGCTAAATAAGAGGAAAAACGTGGTAAATTTAGCTGAATAGAAAATCCTAACCTTCTTAATATTTCAGAGGTGCTGTCTTGTTCTGACTGAACCTTTTCAGCCTCAAGTCTTTCAGCTTCAAGTCTTTCTGCTTCTTTTCTAGCAGCCACAGCCTCTGCTTCTTCTTGGATTTTCCTTTTCTTTGTCTCTTGATGTTATGCCTGATCATTATGTACGACTGCTTTTTCAAATACTTTTGAATACCGGCGTGTGCAAGTAGTGTGACATCATGTGAAAATGAAGAGTAACTTTTTCGGTCTTAGCCAATGTAATATACTTAGGACCAAGGTGTAAAGTTATAGCTTGGCAAACATGACGCACAGCTTTTGGAATAGTAGATCTGGCTATGCCAAAGGAGTTCATTAACATGGGGAGCCATATCCTTTAGAGAATTTAGGGTTAAAGCTTGCTTTTTCTCAGCCAAAAGAGCAGTTTGGTTGGGTAACCTAGGTTCTGGTGCAATATATCACCTCAGTTCTTCCTAGACATTAACAGGTTTCCGTCCCATTCCTCTTCTCTGAGATGCCCCCACCACAGGTTTACCCTACTTGTTTTTTTTTTTCCAATAAGGGGGTAACCTTTCTTTGCCTTCTTTGATTTTGTTTAGCTTGACATACAAACTCATTCCCTCTCAATTCAGCTTGGGCTGTCAACATTTCGTGATTAGCTTTCAATTCCCATATCTGCACCATGAAAATATCAAGAGCCATCAAAATACTGCAGTCAGACTAAAAAAGTAGAAAAACAATGTTTACAGCTACTCTTTTCCTGTTGTCAACCATTTTGTCAAATATATATCCTGACCTTGCCATACAAGAGTTAGCAAATTTAGCTAATGTTGAACTTCATATAAATGCTCCATGAAGTTGTCTGGGGAGGGGGGGGAAGGTTGTCTTGGGTACCCAAGACCATATAAATGCAGCCTAATTCTGTTTAAGAAAGAAAAATTTGCAAAAATCATCCATTGAATCATGATTGAAGATTCTGTAAACATCACA